CTGCCACGCCCACTACTACACCTGCACCCTGCCACGCCCACTACTACACCTGTACCCTGCCACGCCCACTACTACACCTGTACCCTGCCACGCCCACTACTACACCTGTACCCTGCCACGCCCACTACTACACCTGCACCCTGCCACGCCCACTACTACACCTGTACCCTGCCACTCCCACTAGATAATATAACCCTCCCACTTTTTTCATTCATCATCAGCCTTAAGAGCACGCCCACGATACAATCAAGCCGCCCATTCACCCCTCCCCCCCCCCCTTGGCGTAGAGGTGAGAGGGGAGGGGGGCAAGGAGATCCAGGAGTCAACTTTGCGTTTTTTCAACACACACACACACACACACACACACATACAGATACACTCACACACACACCTTTTCAATCGTCTAACGCACAGGAGTTTGGGAGTTCATAAATAATTTCGATGGGGATCTGTGACTAGGTCGGGTTAAGTTTGGTGAGGTTAGGAAAAGTTTGGTTAACATTAGATTAGGTTTGGTTAAGTTAGGTATAGGTTAGGTTTGGTTATGTTTATTAACGTAACATTAGGTTTGGTCAAGTTAAGTTAGCATTAGTGTGGTTAATTTGTTATAGGTGAAATAAGTATGGGTGTCTAATCTTCAGGTGATCCGTGATTATATTCTCATTTTCCTTGCTTATGAAACGAATTAGTTGTCCAATAATTACTACTGTATTCCTGTTTCTTTGATATATTCTCTTGTGTTTTTGTTTATTCTTGTTTCTGTTTGCTTCATTGTTTATGTCTTTATCTCTCTCTACCTTTGTTCTTGTTTTTGTGTTTACTTATGTTTCTCTTTATTATTCTTGTCTATTCTGTCCGTTGTATTTTCATCTTATCTGTTACAGTACCGCGTTATCAAGACCTTGTTATGATAGTCACCCAGCGCCACTATCTCTACCACGGGAAATCCTTTTTATGGTCGCCAAGTTTCCTCATATCAGACACCTAATTGGTCTTTGTCTTTTGTGCTGGAGAACTCAGTCCCAGTTCTCCAAAGAGCGTATGGTAACTTTTCCTCCGAAGAGATGTTGACAATGCATCTACCCCTTGGTCGTTTAAGCTTCGATACTAAGATGAAGTCTGAAAAGATTCGTTCTATAAAAATTTCTGTTATCTAGAAGCGAAAAACTCGTTTAGGTAATTTATTAAATATTCGAGACAAAGATGGTAGTCAGAATAATAGCTTAAATAACTTGATTATGTAGTTTCATCTATCTAAACGATGGTCGCTACAGCAGTCTCGATATATTCATTAAAATAAATGCATGTAAATTGACTCATGCGTTGTTCAGCATATTTAGTTTACACACACGCACGCATACAGACGGATGTATAAAAAAAAAAATTCGTAATTCAGTTGAGAGTTGCAAGATGTCTTTAGCAAACAGCTGACGAACGCAACCAAGACATCTTCGAGGTAAACATTGGACTTGCATGTGAGCGTTGTTAATGTGCTGATGCTTAAAAACTGTTCGTGCTAAACAGTTATGATTAATTTACATACCATATTTGGTTACTTTAATAGTGCAGGATCTGAAGAATTCGGATTTTATACAGATGTCGACAGCTATCAATAATGCGGGTGAAAACAAGAAATAGTACCGATGACACAGTTGACAAAACCCAGGTAGCCACAGAAACTAGCCTAGCAAGTACCTGTGCAGAATGCGAATCATTTCATCTGGGGTAAGTAACGAAAACTAATTACTTATTGTTTTATATAATTAATAAATTTCAGGGTTGGTTAGTGAGGCAAATGCAGAGAGGGCAATATTGATGTTACCATTTTATGAACGACTGTCAGTCAGTTTCAAAGTTCGTGTGTTCAAGTATCGGGTTATGTTTCTTGGGAATAGTCCTGTGTACTGTTAGATACATACACTCTCTCTATGATCATGTGGAGTAGCTCTCTCTCCATTATATTAAATAAATGTGAGCATAAAAACAGCTATCAGTATAATTATGACGTTTAGTAGGGCACCATAATCATCCGTTATCACAGAACTTTTCCCAGTGTGATTAATTAATATTTTAGACATTGTAAAATAAAGAAATTTCAGTAAAACCCTGTTATTGGGTTTTGGTCACTATTATTTTTTGCAATGCCTTACAAGAGGCACGGATGCATATATTTTCAAACTAACTATTCTTCTGTTAACCTTTTAGAGGAAATGTTGTGCTTCTCGTCCAGTTCAACAAAATCATCACCGAAGGCACATGTTTACTTCACTATCGTCAGCTTGCCTCATGGTCCAGGCAAGTTCAGTGAATCAAAAACCATCACAAGTTGCAAAATCTTTCCCGTTCCTGCTAAAATCATAGTTCTGTGATGGTTTACTTTCATCCACCTCAGTAAATTATCCAAAAAGCCCCCCCATACTTCTCTTCACGTTGACCAATTAAAATTATTTCCACCCAAAAATTCAACCGGTCAATGGGAATTTTTGCCAGAAATAAATGACATTGAAGTTTATTGTTATTAAATGCCATTAGCTAGAAAATCCAGACTAGTCTCACTGATACAGTTAGGCTCTATACTCTCAAGACATTCAAAGCCGCAACCCCCCCCCCCTGCCCCCGCCTTAAAGCTATATACTGTGCTGTAATTATATTGACACGCACGCCAACTGTCGGCTAAGGGAAAAAGTGGGTGGGGCTGCATTGTGAACGTGTTGCAGGATTTCTTTTATATTAATAACCTGTGTATAATGCATATGTACATAGTGTAAATTACGCCGTCTAGAGAGGTGGCTGTTACGTTACAGGGGATGAACGTCCGAAGGGTTTTCTTGTGTTAGTTATCCCTCCTCCTAGTCACAGGCCTGGCACTTGACATTATTAGGGACCTGCCACACTTTGCTATAAACAGATGAAATGTACCGGGAACTTTACCCCCACACACTCATCATTCTCTCACTTTATGTAACTTGACAAAACCTATGACCCTTCAGGCTTTTACGCCCTTAATGTACGAGTCATAAAGGCAAGTATGAACTTTGCATACTTCCCAGATGGGCGCTGTAAACGTTTCTGCGCTTCACCTTGCACAGGATGTAAGGGGGTGCCCAATAAACTAGCCCCCTCGGGGGCAAATCTGAAATCTTGTGTTAGTTTTCAAAGGATTGTCTGATGAGGATAAAAATATTTGATATTCATTATGAAGCAGAGGATAGAATATAATTTTGCCAGGCAACAAAATATTTTTTTTTATTGCGTAAAAACACAAGACTGGTGCACATGTCAGATGGCGTCACTAGCACCCCCATCCTTTTAACAGCTTGTCAAGATAATAAAAATATTAAAGATTAAAGTGTTTACGTGATTAATTCAGGATACTATGTATTTCACAGGTTTTCCTGAGCACAAGCTGTGAAGTTATAGTTCATTGAACTTTAAAGGTAACAGCTCTCCTCTTAGTGTTATTCAAACTATTTTGCTGAAAAATTATATTGTATGGGTGGAACGTTAACATAAACTTGTACTTGTGTACTGTATATCCAGAGTCACCAGCCAGGAGCAGCTACATTACTAGTCATTACTTGTGACTCTGTGGTAACACTAGACTCATGGTTGTGGTAGTCAGCGTCACTAGACTCATGGTTGTGGTAGTCAGCGTCACTAAACTCATGGTTGTGGTAGTCAGCGTCACTAAACTCATGGTTGTGGTAGTCAGCATCACTAAACTCATGGTTGTGGTAGCCAGCGTCACTAAACTTATGGTTGTGGTAGTCAGCGTCACTAAACTCATGGTTGTGGTAGCCAGCGTCACTAAACTTATGGTTGTGGTAGTCAGCGTCACTAAACTCATGGTTGTGGTAGTCAGCATCACTAAACTCATGGTTGTGGTAGTCAGCATCACTAAACTCATGGTTGTGGTAGTCAGCGTCACTAAACTCATGGTTGTGGTAGTCAGCATCACTAAACTCATGGTTGTGGTAGTCAGCATCACTAAACTCATGGTTGTGGTAGTCAGCATCACTAAACTCATGGTTGTGGTAGTCGGCATCACTAAACTCATGGTTGTGGTAGTCAACGTCACTAGACTCATGGTTGTGGTAGTCAGCGTCACTAAACTCATAGTTGTGGTAGTCAGCGTCACTAAACTCATGGTTGTGGTAGTCAGCGTCACTAAACTCATGGTTGTGGTAGTCAGCGTCACTAAACTCATGGTTGTGGTAGTCAGCATCACTAAACTCATGGTTGTGGTATTCAACATCACTAAACTTATGGTTGTGGTAGTCAGCGTCACTAAACTTGGCTAGGATTTACCACTCACCTCCTGACTCACATCCTCCACATTGGCTTTACATCTTGTTACGTTAAATCCCGTGAGGATCTACATTGCAGATAACAAGTAGCCAACCCTGTCACAAGTGTTACTATGTTAGTCCAGTGTGGCCGGAGCTGTTGTCAAGCTGCCATGTAACACAGATCCACGGGAGCACTGTACAATCTCCAATTTTTTAGCTTAATGGAAGTTTTCTAGGTTTTGATGTTCCGTGAATATAAGATAAAACAAAACAACTGTAATCAAGTATTCTGAGTATAATAATATAGATTGTGTTAGATGTTCCCAACTTCATACATAACTACTGTACGTTTGAAGATATTGTGAGAAGGTGCGGGAGATTATAAAAGAAATAACTTTTAAATAAGACTTGGTAAGTGGTTTATGCCTTGTTAAGTCTAATGTCACATTACAGTACTTATATGTCTTGTAGAAAATAATTTTCAATGGAAATTTCAAATTAGTCATCTCGTTAACCAGAACTGTTACATTAATAGTGAAAATTTAAATGTCTGCAAATACCTTTTCTGCTCCCATTTTTCAGTGGGATTCAAAGTCCAGCTGCTTTGTCATGTTTCTGATATTAAACACTCAAATATTATTATTTTTTTAATCTTAACAAAATAAACAGTCAGCCCACAACCTACCCGTTACCCTGTGTCTGTTTACACAT